TTAATTCCTTGAAGAAGGTAGGAGCAAGGCGAAAGGTAAGAACAAGAAGAAAGGTACGGAATGGATGGGTGTAATAATGGGGTGACGGAAGAAGGGGAACGTAAGAATGAGAGGAGAAAGAAAACGAAAGAGAAAAAAGGGGGGTAGGCTTATGTCAGGTCACGTTTGTTAAGAAGGTCGAAGCACTTGAGTGTGTACTGTGAAAGGGAAGAGTCAACAGCAACAAAGTCAGGACTCAGGTTCATGTTGGGAAGGTTGTGTATCAGAGCCGTGTCGACAAGACGGCGTCTGTGTAGAGTAGAGGCGGGAAACATTATTTTAGAAGAAGACCAATCAGTAGAATGATCAGAATCCCTAACATGACAGTAGAGACCATTGTGTCTACAGACTTAGCACTTCTGTTGTGTTCCTTAAGTCTGTCCTTAAGTGTACGGCCAGTTTTCCCAAAATATTGGAGAGGACAAGACAAACAGGAAATAGGGTAGACACCAGAAGCATTAGAAGCAGGAGAAGTGTGAACCAGATTACTACGGACTGTTAGTTGATCGACAGTCAAGATTTATATCAAGAGGAGAAAGGGTATTAGTGAGATCTTTGAGTTCAGATATGAAGGGAAAGGCAGAGCACAGGGTTCTAGTGTTGGAAACTGGTTTAGGGTGAAAGAAATTTCTCTTAGCTAGAGAATAGGCACATTTGATAAAATGTGTGGGGTCACCAAGGCGAGAGCAACATTTAAAAATAAATAAAATTTCTGAATCAAGAAACTGAGACGATGAGTCTCTTGATGAGGAGGTTGATGAGTCTCAGATGAAGAGACTCCTCATCCTCTGGTGTATTTGTTTGGTCATCATGGCACTCCATGTCTGTGTTTCAGTATCGCCGACACGACGACCTGTTCAGAGGTCGTCGTGAAATGACGACCTCTGAAATGAATTCAGAGACGATGAAATGCAGTATTTTAGCTCTGTTATGATGCAAATTGTAGAATATGACGCACACTAAAAAAAAGAAAGACAATTCCCTCGCCCTATCTAATCATTGGAGTAAAAAATAGTAATTACGACGAAAAGGCAATACAACATTTCATTGCTGAAAATATTTACGTTCACCTGATCAAAAACTTTCTTTAAAAATTCTTGTTAGGTTTATTTAACTCATTAAATATTAGACGAATGTTACACTAAGACAACATTAATTATATTAGTTAATTAAAATGATTTTATTAGATGATGAATTGAATAGTTGCCTGGTTACCTCAATGATCTTGAGGTTATCTTGAGATGATTTCGGGGCTTTAGTGTCCCCGCGGCCCGGTCCTCGACCAGGCCTCCACCCCCAGGAAGCAGCCCGTGACAGCTGACTAACACCCAGGAACCTATTTTACTGCTAGGTAACAGGGGCATAGGGTGAACGAAACTCTGCCTATTGTTTCTCGCCGGCGCCTGGGATCGAACCCAGGACCACAGGATCACAAGTCCCGCGTGGTGTCCACTCGGCCGACCGGCTCCCCTAATAGTCTAATTGACTCTCTTCTCCTAATGATGCTCTAATTGATGAATTAGTTGATTCCCGATACAGTTTTCTGCCTTATCTTCTAAATGATTTCGTTCCTGCAAGTTTTATTGATTGGTAAAAAAAAGTTGGTTAAAGGGTATTCAGTTTTCCAATTAATTGATTTATTGATTAACTAACCTTTCAGCCAATAAACTGACTTACTGATGAAGACCTTCAAGTTAACAATTACTAATTTGTTTCATGAAATGAGTACTAACTTGGATTGGAAGGAAGGGGTGAAGAGGGGAAATGAAGGGTGAAAGGAAGGGTGATTAAGTTTGAGAAATGGGGAAGGAAAAGTGGAGAAAGAGAGAGAGGGAGAGAGGAGGAATGGAAGAGGAACCAGGGGACAAAGGTGGTGAGAAGAAATGACAGAAGAATGGATGGATGTGGGAGGGAGAGGGGTGGCGGAAGGGAGTGGCGGAAGGGGGTGCCGGAAAGGGGTTGGCGGAAGGAGTTGGGTGGAACAGAGACAACAGCATATTGCTATAGCTTACATGTGACGGCCTCTCCAGGTGAGATATATTGCTGTTATTTGTACTTGCCAGAAACTGAATGACCTTCTTTCCTCAGCACTATCTTCTTTTTCTTTCACTCTAGCATCCTTCACAACCCTTTCTCTTCTTTCATCAGCACTATCTTCTTCTTTCACTCTAGCGTCCTTCATAGCACTCTCACTTCTTTCATCAGAACTATCTTCTTCTTCTTCCTTCATTGTAGCGTCATTCACAACCCTTTAACTTCTTTCATTAGCACTATCTTCTTCTTCTTCTTCCTTCACTCTAGCTTCCTTCACAACCCTGTCACTTCTTTCATCAGCACTATCTTCTTCCTTCACAATCCTGTCACTTCTTTCATCAGCACTATCTTCTTCTTCTTCCTTCACTGTTGCGTCATTTGCAGCTCTCACGATCCTTTCTAAATTTTCTTACAGAAATTTCATAAATACACAAATATGGATTTTATCCTATATTATAATTATTATTATTATTATTATTGAGAAAATCCACTGGGGCTCAGAGGCGCCAGTGAGAACACTCGTTGCTATATATAACGAAAGTGTGATTTTCTGCGTATCATTATTATTATTAAAATGATTATAGTGAGCCTATATATTATAGTTATATATAACTATAGATTATAGTTAACAACATAACAATTACCATCACCACCATAAACATCGTCACCATGACAATCTAACACCATCATCACTACCATTGTTACCACAACTATACCTACTACTGCTCTCGTCACTATCAGTGTCGCCACTCCCCAAATCACCAAAAAAAAAACCAATCACCACCATCACCCTATTTAACCCTCCCCCCCTCCATGCCCCCCCTCCCTTTCCCATCTGAGAGCCCCCCTCCCCCCACCAATAGGTCTCAGGGCAGCACAAAAGCTTGCGACTGAGGAAGCACAATTCAGCTGCGGTAGACCAATATTGTTGCACTACAAAGGCGGGATATTACTAACTTGCAGGCCTTCAGGGGCCATGTTTCTGCCAAGCAGGAACACCACATGTACCGCATGCGGCATATGTACCACATGAACCACGCGAGTCATATGTACCACATGAACCACGCGAGTCATATGTGCCACAAGTGCCTTATGTACAACATGGACCACATGAGCCTGTATGCTTTGTTATAATCGAAATTGTAAACATTGCATTTTTTAATAATGATATGAAATAATATGCTATTAAACCCATGACAATATTATTGTTGTAATAATAACATGGGTTTATTAGTTATTGTTCCTAAGGAAACCGCAAGTTATAAGCAGTTATCCTAAGACCGGCTATCCTATGAGCGGCTATCGTAAGAGAGGCTATGCTGCATACACCAGGAGACAACAGTGTACTAAGGCCTTCATATAGTCGATCGGTTTGATTTCGCGCTTATATACATGTTGAATAATGTTAGAATTTCTGTGAGCCTAGAAATAAGTGATCGCTGATGGAATGAGTTTTTGTGAGAAAGGCTCTTGGGTGATGAGTGAGGCTGTTGGGTGATGAGTGAGGCTCTTGGGTGATGAGTACCTTGTGGTTGTTGTTGTAATGGCCAGCGTTCACAAGCTTGGACCAGGTGAGGAACTGACCTGGTCCACCAGAACGGGCGAAGATGAACCATCTCGCACGGTTCTTTACCTGGCTCTACCACGGTTCTCAGGAATCTGTTAATTGATGGTCGGGGCCGGCAGGTGCTGGCAGACGAGGAGAGCATAATCTACTTACGAACGAACTTGTGCTTCATATTATGTTTTGTAGCGCCCTGCTGTAGAGAAGGTATGAGATGCGCAGTATGATTGTTAGTTTCTTGAATACCTTCGCCACTATCCATGAATAACCAAGTGGTTGTTCATGGATAGTGAAGAGTCAAACTTCGTTCCCTATAGCTCAGGTTCATCACTGTTTCCTCTGCCTTTCCACACAGGCTTGTATTAGATCCCACAGGTGGATCGATACGCTTCTCTCAATGTTTACTGATTATGCCAAGATATATATCAAATTATGGAAAGCTGCAAACTCATTACGATGATCTGGACAAAAGTGAAATAATCGTTAAAGTGGCTACTAGAGTTTAACTGGAAAAAGTGGAACATAGCGAAGCTGATTTGTGGGAACCATCCTGGAATTTACAATAAAAAGTAAAATTGAAAGTTATCACATCAAAAATCTCTGTTAAAGCCCATATCACTCGGTTATTAACAGCTGTTTATAGGTGGCAAACAGAATTGCCTTCGGAAATTTAAATAAGGAGTCATTCTAAACATGTCACACTAATTCTTGAAAAGGAAGCTCCAGTAGAGTAATATCTCGCCGAATACAAAGCACAGTTTGAGTACGTACAGTAGTGTCTTGTCTAGTCCTCGTGGACTAGACCAGGCTGTGAGCTGAGAGGCATGATATACGAAGAAAAACTAAATAAATTAAATGTCACACTATGAGAAGAGAGATGTAGTAGGTGATATATGATTATCACATGAAAAATAATCAGATGAAACATATTGGGCGCTCAAAAATATACTATTAAGTGTAGATGATTCAGAAAAAAAGGAACACAGTTGGGTATAATTCATCGAATGAGCCAGGGACATTGCGAAATCCATGTCAGAATAGCAAGCAAGTAAGCGGATTACATAATGTGGTTGAGACAGATTTCATACACAACCTAAATGTAACTATGATAGAGTCCGGAGTCTCGTGACACCTGTATGATGATAATTGGAATTTGTGAAGTGGGGAACCAACAGCTGAAGCCAAGCCCCCCCATTAACAGGTCTGAACATCTTGATAAGAAAACTTCACATGCTTGCCACCGACGCCTCCGTGAGAAAAGTAATGATTGATAATGGTATTACAAGATAACACTATCTGTTTTATCAGCTTAAAAAATACTCCAAAAAAGGAACCCCAACATAATAGTTTCTTTGTTGAGTTTCTCAGTCACACACTTTTACGTGTTTTTTCCCGTCATGTGTGTGAGGCGAGGTCGGTGCCTCAGTGTAACCACAACAGTGAAAAGTAAGTGATTTGCTCTTCATTGCAAAACAAATTTATTTGCCAAATATAAACCTTCTCGTAATTCCCTAAGCGTTAGCGTGTTTTAAATTGATCTAACACATAGTGTCAGAGATCACGTCCAGTCATGCTGAGGATTACAGTTTTATGTACGCCTCGTTATTAAAAACAGTAAAAATTAAACAAAATACGAATAAGGAAAAATGTGCAAATCTAGTTTACGTAAAAATCAAAAGGTGCAAGGAATGCACCTTTTGGCATGGTGAAAAATTCTCCGAATTCTACCTTGATCACGGGTAATTCTGGATGTTCGAAATGTTGTAGGTGATTAGCTTTGAATTATTCGTTGCCAGCTGACCTAACGGACCATTACTGCCATACCGAGGTACTGCCACTACCATACCGGGGTCCTGCCGCTGCCATACCGAGGTACTGCCACTGCCATACCGGGGTCCTGCCGCTGCCATACCGAGGTACTGCCACTGCCATACCGGGGTACGGCCACTACCATACCGAGGTACTGCCACTGCCATACCGGAGTACTGCCACTACCATACCGAGGTACTGCCACTGCCATACCGGGGTACGGCCACTACCATACCGAGGTACTGCCACTGCCATACCGGGGTCCTGCCGCTGCCATACTGGGGAACTGACACTGCCATACCGGGGTACTGCCACTGCCATACCGAGGTACTGCCACTGCCATACCGGAGTACTGCCACTGCCATACCGGGGTACTGCCACTGCCATACCGGAGTTCCACTGCCATACAGGGGTACTGCCGCTGCCATATCGGGGTACTGCCGCTGCCATACCGGGGTACTGCCGCTGCCATACCGGAGTACTGCCACTGCCATACCGGGGTACTGCCGCTGCCATACCGGAGGTGTTATTATGGGCATTCCAGGTTGCTGAGGAAAATTTCCACCAAAATATAGCATAAGATATCTGAGTAACAAGATGTATGGAAGCACATGGACCAGACGTGACTGTGTATAAAACAAAGCAGCTCCCTCAAGCCAGAGAGAGAGTCAAGTCAGCACATTGCCACCATTTTGTGAACACCATCCCAGGAACACCTCTATAATGGGTCCACACCAGGCTATGTTATTACAACTAATAAGCTATAAGCATATCATGGTAATACTCCAAAATAATTGTGTATACTTAATAAACATATGTTTACCCAGATACGTTTGGTTAACAATTGTATAAATGGATCCTTAAAACAGGTAGTACAGCGATACTCGCCTTGAGGTGGATCGTCTGTGTGTGTGTGTGTGTGTGTGCAGACGTTGATGTTTTAGTAAACAATACTCCGCCACCACACAGGGACACTCTACGATGTACAAGCTGCTTAATTTGCAGTCGTTTTACATCAGCGGAACTGAATTGTGGTGTAAACTACGCATAAATGTGTATAAAAAGCAAGACACTCTATTTTAAGTGATATAAGTGTGTGTTGTTTGTGACTGAGGGGCTGATATAAGTGTGTGTCTTGCCATGAAACTGTGAGTGTGTGTGGACACACACTGAACATTACTCCTCCGCCTCTCAAGGACACTCTGAGATGTACAAGCTATTTAATTTGCAGCAGTTTTACATCCGAGGACCTGAATCGTGGTGTCAACTACACATAAACTGTGTATAAACAGCAAGACACTATTTAAAGTGATATAAGTGTGTGTCTGGCCATTTAACAGTGAAAGGAGTGTCACAGCAGCGCCACCACACTCCTTATATACTTTTATTTATTTATATACAAGAAGGTACATTGGGGGATTAAAAGAGAACATAGAAATTAAGTTGATTTTACATTCTTGTAAAGCCACTAGCACGCGTAGCGATTCGGGCAAATCCTTAAACTAACAGATAATTTTAGACAATTTACAGCATAATTGACAAAAAAATGTTTACAGGTAGTTTACAGCTTTACTATACAGGTACAGATAATTTTAAGTAGAATAATTACAGCAAATCGACAACAAATTTTACAGGAACATTGCAAGAACTTTTGACACAAAAGCAGATTAGAATAATACCCAATAATAACAATACATAACAATAAAAAAGATTACTAGGTACATTAGGACAACATTCCAGGGTTATACATTGATTCACTGAAGCAAAATATGAGGATCATTTCAAGGAATAACGCAGCAGAATATGTACTCAATACAACAACCATGATATCAGATGATATCACTCATTCTTTCTCCTTCGACTCCTGCACACACAAGTAAACATTACCATTCCACCTTATGGGGGACAGTCCATGGTCGTACACTCTTAGTTTTAGCCATTTTACACCCGTGGACCCCACGTTGATGCTGTAAACTACACATAAATGTGTATGAACATCAAGACACTCTAAGTAACGTTATTTAAGTGTAAATCTTGCCCTAAAACTGTGAGAGAAGTGTGTGGTCACACCGACGCCACAGCAGCGACCCACACACTGCCACCATAGAGCCCAATAGGCTCAGGAACCAGGACATCAGTTGATTGACAGTTGAGAGGCGGGACCAAAGAGCGAGAGCGCAATCCCCTCAAGCACAACTAGGTGAGTACAAGTAGGTGAGTACACAGACCCTCACACACAGTAGACAGTACTCCGCCGCCACAGCAACACACACAGTAAACAGTACTCCGCCACCACAGCAACACACACAGTAGACAGTACTCCGCCGCCACAGCAACACACACAGTAAACAGTACTCCGCCGCCACAGCAACACACACAGTAGACAGTACTCCGCCGCCACAGCAACACACACCGTAAACAGTACTCCGCCGCCACAGCAACACACACAGTAAACAGTACTCCGCCACCACCAGAACACACACTATATAAAGTGATATAAGTGTGTTGCCGTAAGTTGTGGGTGGAGCGTGAGTAACACCTCACGCCTAAAGCCGACGGAGTCCAGACATCACGGTTACTGCCCGTGCCATACCGGGGTACTGCCACTGCCATACCTGTGTACTGCCGTGGCCATAACAGGGTACTGCCACTGCGCTATACCCCGGTATCTCCAATCTTGTGTACTAGTAATCTATTGCTTTTCAGCTGAAGAAATGATTACTTGTATAATTTTTTTCTACACATTTTCGCACAGTAGCGTGACCAGGACTTGCCTCTCAGCTCAAGTGTGTGACAGTCAACCAGGATGTCCACAAGATCTCGGACGCCTCTAATTGCCATAGTTGTGTTGTTTAGTCTTTTGTCTACACTCCTTCTAAGGTGAGTTGGTTTTAATGATGTTTGAACATTGTAGGCATTATGGATATTTTGTAAGGCAAGGAAATTTGTAAGTCAAGGAAATTTGTAAGTCAAGATAGAAATAATATAGAAAAATATTGATTAAATAGTGAAATATATGATAAAAATAGTGAAAAATAGTGAAATATATAGTGAATACAAAATAATAATAACAATAATAAAAAAAATAGTATCAATAAAATAATAATAATATTAATACAAAGAATACTCAAAGGTTATTGATAATAATAACTTCATGAACATGATATAATATATTTAATATAATTAATACCTGTTAATATCTGTGTTATCAAATTATGGTCAACTATTATTGCCTTATTCTCATTGTGAATATTATTATTAGATAAGAATTATTATTGACTTATTTTTTTTCTCTTTGCCTCATTCCTTTCTGCCTCTCTACCTCCTTCTCTACCTCCGTCTCTCCTCCCTCCCTCTCTTCCTCCCTCGCTACCTCCATCCCTCCATCCCTCCCCTCCCTCTCTACCTCCATTCCTACCTCATTCCTTACCTACTTCTTTATCTTCTTCACTACTTCTGTTCCTCCCTCCTTCTTTACTTCCATCTTTACCTCCTTCTCTATCTTCTCTACCTCCGTCTCTACCTCCATCTCTACCTCCATCCCTCTCTTCCCGTCTACATAGCAATACGAGCTTCTTCCTCGGCCTCCAGAGACCTGGACCTCGAAGCCCTAAGGGTAAACACTCAAGTTTCAGCCCGTCCTCCATATTGGCACTACCCATGGTACACTCTGGGAAACATCTCTACAAAATGTACACTTTTTACACCTAGATAAAAGTCTACATTGTGTAAACAATTATCAGATACATAATTATTTAATATAAAAAGTTATTGAATATAACTAAAATGGTCAGATCAATTATTCTAGCAATCATTGATCTTACAATTTTTGTCAAATTCAATAACATTTTGTCTGTCTCTTTTGTCTGTCTTCTGTTGTTAATCTTTGCTCTCATGTTTGAGTTTGACCACAATTATGTTGCATCTTCCAAATCAAATTTTAAATTGTCTCTTAAATTATTTTATTTATACTTAATTTAAATTACCTTAGCAATAGGTTTACGATGTATGAATTTCTATTTTGCTCCTTTACTCTGTTTCCAGTTTTATGCCGCTTCTATGTTCTGTGTTATGTCATGGTTCTTGTGCTGTTGCTCCTTCCTGTGACAGGCTAGTCCTCGTGACCCACTGGTCCTCCTCACTCTCATTCTCTCCCTCTAACACTGTCTCTGACGACGGACACAAACTGTTCTTGTAAGTGCTCAGACCTTGTCCAATATATATATATATATATATATATATATATATATATATATATATATATATATATATATATATATATATATATATATATATATATATATGTCGTACCTAATAGCCAGAACGCACTTCTCAGCCTACTATGCAAGGCCCGATTTGCCTAATAAGCCAAGTTTTCATGAATTAATTATTTTTCGACTACCTAACCTACCTAACCTAACCTAACCTAACCTAACCTAACTTTTTCGGCTACCTAACCTAACCTAACCTATAAAGATAGGTTAGGTTAGGTTAGGTAGGGTTGGTTAGGTTCGGTCATATATCTACGTTAATTTTAACTCCAATAAAAAAAAATTGACCTCATTCATAATGAAATGGGTAGCTTTATCATTTCATAAAAAAAATTTGAGAAAATATATTAATTTAGGAAAACTTGGCTTATTAGGCAAATCGGGCCTTGCATAGTAGGCTGAAAAGTGCGTTCTGGCTACTAGGTACGACACACATATATATATATATATATATATATATATATATATATATATATATATATATATATATATATATATATATATATATATATATATATATATATATATATATATATATATATATATATATATATATGTGTGTGTGTGTGTGTGTGTGTGTGTGTAAATCACGAAAATTCAGAAAGGGGAGTTCTGAAGATGCATTATTAAATACGAAAGTATTTAATACAACATAGTTGTACGTCCATACAACTACTTTCGTATTTAGTAATACCTCTTCAAAACATCTTCTGAAGATGTATTGTGTAAGTATATTTATCTATCCCTCTGACTAGTGCTTTTGAATCTTGGTTTAACTGGAAAAGGATTTCTCCAAATGTCATATTTGTTCACGGTTGACAAAAATGGTAAAAATTAACTGTAGAATGTGTTATACTAATTAGAATTTACACATTGTTTCGAACCGACATGGTTCACTCTCAAGTGAGGAGACGGCTATTGTTGCTGTTTTATATTCAGCTACTCAGTACAAAAAGTTCCAAGCAGCACTGGTTATGGTGAGCCCATAGTCGACTTACCTGGCACAGGAGCGGGACTGTAACTGTGTCGAGAAGATGGTTGTTGATGTTTTAGATTCAGCTACTAGGAACTAAATTTTCCATGTAGCATAGACTATGGTGAGCCCGTAAAGGAGATGGTAGGGAACATCGGGTTCATTCTGCTGGGCGTTCTGGTACATAGGCAATTAAGTCAGGAGAAAGGCGAAAGAAAGTAGTAAAGGTGAAATGAGGTGATGGGTCGATACATTCTGGTACATAGGCAATTAAGTCAGGAGAAAAGCGAAAGAAAGTAGTAAAGGTGAAATGAGGTGATGGGTCAATAAACGATACATACAGAGAAAAGTCAGGTGATTAGAACTATGCATGCTTAGTATATTGTCTAAGTATGCTTAGAATATATACTTATCTTATTATATAAGCATTATCTAAATATACTTTGTGTGATTATCTTTGAATGCTTTATTGACCCATCATCTCAATTTACCAATCAATATATAGTACAAATATCCCCCAGTCACTATATTTAGGCCCAATATTTTCTGAAGCATAGGATGAATGTATCACTGAGCCTGACAGACGCTACTACCAAATCCATAAGTTTAAAACTTAATTTTCAGAAGTGATTGGTAATTAAACAACTATAATGATCATTAACGCAAACAAAAATATTTTGATTATAAAGTAATACATTATTTAAAATAACAAATAATAGTTTTTATGAAGGTAATTCTAAACTCAGTAGTGAAAAGCGCCAAGCTGAGAGTAGACAGACTTTACTGAATATTTGTATAATGAATAACTTATATTCCTGGATAAGATCTCCCGATGAACAATAAAGTCTAATCTCGTCTTGGTGTTTCTCATCACAAATCAGTCAGAAAAAATGTTTATGTGTTTTTCATCAGAGCAGGACGAGTTGGAGACACTCAGACGACAGCTTCACGGCAGAGTCGAACGACACCTCGGTGGGTGAGAAATGAGTCATTTACTTTCTTAGTGAGAAGTAGACAGATTTGTACCGTCCTGGTGAGAAATGAGTCAAGACTTGAACCTTTTATAGTTAAGAGGTGAATAATCCACGTGTTTACCTCTTGATGTGTGAATTAGCCAAGTATTTTCCCCCATGATAAGTACACGAACCAAATATCTTCCTGGTGATAGACAAATATGTAATGTTCATTCTTGGTAAGAATGAAGTCAATCATGTAGTTTTAAACATAAGAAACATCAGTAATATACTCGCTTGCTTACTACACAGCGACCCAACCACAGTTGTTCCAGGTGTTAAGTAGTTCAGCCCTCAGCCTACACGATAAGAATCGAATGACCCAAATGTTCAGGGTTAAAAAATATATCAGCCGTATATCTCATAATTCGAAATAAATTACTCGTAGTCTTGAATTCAAAGACTTAAGTCAAAACTACATTTATCTTTTTGTAAAATTAGTCAAACATAATAGCTACACGGGAAGAAATATGTTTCCAGTATATCTTCCCATAAGAAATAATTAAGTAGTGTACTTCCCAGTGGGAAATAAGTCGTCTGTATACTTCCTAGTGAGGAAGAGTCAGTGGTATACTTCCCAGTGAGAAATGACTCAGTAGTATACTTCCCATTGTGAAAATGAGTCAGTAGTATACTTTCTAGTGTGAAAATGAGTCAGTAGTATACCTTCCAGTGTGAAAATGAGTAAGTAGTAAACTTTCCAGTGTGAAAATGAGTCAGTAGTATACTTTCCAGTGTGAAAATGAGTCAGTAGTAAACTTTCCAGTGTGAAAATGAGTCAGTAGTATACTTTCCAGTGTGAAAATGAGTCAGTAGTATACCTTCCAGTGTGAAAATGAGTAAGTAGTAAACTTTCCAGTGTGAAAATGAGTCAGTAGTATACTTTCCAGTGTGAAAATGAGTCAGTAGTAAACTTTCCAGTGTGAAAAATGAGTCAGTAGTATACTTTCCAGTGTGAAAATGAGTCAGTAGTAAACTTTCCAGTGTGAAAATGAGTCAGTAGTATACTTTCCAGTGTGAAAATGAGTCAGTAGTATACTTTCCAGTGTGAAAATGAGTAAGTAGTAAACTTTCCAGTGTGAAAATGAGTCAGTAGTATACTTTCCAGTGTGAAAATGAGTCAGTAGTAAACTTTCCAGTGTGAAAAATGAGTCAGTAGTATACTTTCCAGTGTGAAAATGAGTCAGTAGTATACTTTCCAGTGTGAAAATGAGTCAGTAGTAAACTTTCCAGTGGGAAATGTGTTAGTGGTAATAAATGAGTAACTCGTGGGTGTTCGTGGCAAAAGATATGTCAAAATAATAACTCCCTCGTGGTGTGAACAGAAACATGGCTGCTTGGACCTCAAAACCTGATCTTTTCAACTGGGATTATAGTGTTCAAGTGTTAAGCTTTAGACGAAGGAAACATATAGACAGAGAAAGAGAATGATAAAGATGAAGAAAGGAAAGTTATTAATACTACATCACAGACGATGTGGGAAAGTTTTGTATAGAAAGGTTATTTTTGTGTGTGTGTGTGTGTGTGTGTGTTCAACGCAATGTGTATTTTTACTCGTTTTTGTTATCATTTATATTTAAACTGAGTATCGAATTGGGTTCAACAACTTCCTCGTTTAATTCATTCTACTTATTTACGACTTTTAGGAATGAATTAAAAATAATATACATATATATATATATATATATATATATATATATATATATATATATATATATATATATATATATATATATATATATATATATATATGTGTGTGTGTGTGTGTTTATAATGTAAAAATGTAAAAATTTATGAATGTGTCTGTGGGGTCGACCGCTGGATGTAATGGAATTGAGTCGAGGACGGGTTGTGTGTAAACCGTTTTTCACTCATAAACGCGGGCTTTAGCGGGTGCATGGAATCACTTTTGGGTTTTTGTTTAGAGGACGGGTTAACGTTTCGGCCGATCAAAGCCGTTGTCAACACCAGACATCAGACAGTCTGGTGTTGACAACGGCTTTGATCGACCGAAACGTTCATCTCCCTGTCCCATTTCTCTGTAGATTTTCTGCATATATATGAGGAAAATCCACAGAGTTGTGGTTGTCTTAATATTATAAAGATAACTATTAATAACGTCAGTGTCATTAAAGTTATAATTTCTACTTCACAGTAAACGGGAGAATTAAAGTGAACATGAGCGGTCCTCATTGGAGGCTGTGGCGTACAGATGTTCCTGGGAGCCTTTGTGTCAACTATGAGACTAGGTGAGGGAGACAGAGAGAGAGAGAGACAGACAGACAGAGAGAGGAGAGAGAGAGACAGACAGACACAGAAAGCCTTTGACATACCAAAATAATGGAGAGGTTCGGAAAGACATTTCATACATTTTTTTACATAATACAGATACTAATATTAACTTGGATCCGATAACAAGTAATCTTGATATTCTCTCACAATAATTACTTATTTTCATGATTCGGATCAGGATTCTTTTTTAATGTATTGGGAGCATCAATTTGTAGTGAAGTGCCAGCCGGGAGGGTAGTGTTGTAGGCTGTGTGGTTGTGTAGGCCGGGAGGGTAGTGTTGTAGGCTGTGTATGGTTGTGTAGGCCGGGAGGGTAGTGTTGTAGGCTGTGTGGTTGTGTAGGCCGGGAGGGTAGTGTTGTAGGCTGTGTATGGTTGTGTAGGCCGGGAGGGTAGTGTTGTAGGCTGTGTGGTTGTGTAGGCCGGGAGGGTAGTGTTTAGGCTGTGTAGGCTGTGTGGTTGTGTAGGCCGGGAGGGTAGTGTTGTAGGCTGTGTATGGTTGTGTAGGCCGGGAGGGTAGTGTTGTAGGCTGTGTGGTTGTGTAGGCCGGGAGGGTAGTGTTGTAGGCTGTGTATGGTTGTGTAGGCCGGGAGGGTAGTGTTGTAGGCTGTGTGTGGTTGTGTAGGCCGGGAGGGTAGTGTTGTAGGCTGTGTGGTTGTGTAGGCCGGGAGGGTAGTGTTGTAGGCTGTGTATGGTTGTGTAGGCCGGGAGGGTAGTGTTGTAGGCTGTGTATGGTTGTGTAGGCCGGGAGGGGGAGTGTTGTAGGCTGTGTGGTTGTGTAGGCCGGGAACAAAGTGTGGAAGGTCCTTGGGGTGTGTAGGCCGGGAGGGTAGTGTAGTTGTCTGTGTGGTTGTGTAGGCCGGGAGGGTAGTGTAGTTGACTGTGTGGTTGTGTAGGCCGAGAGGGAGTGTTGTAGGCTGTGTGGTTGTGTAGGCCGG